CCCAGGCAATGGGACTTCTTAGTGACTTGAGACACCCTTAATGATAGCTGATGGAGGGTCTGCGTTCCGTTGTGTGGTATAGAAGCAAGATATGCAGGTAGGAAGGGGTTAATGTGATATGCTCTCCCCTGACCCACCCCACAAATACCAGAGAAGAACCTGGAGCAGACAGACAGTCAGGGCACCAAGACACACTTGACAGACTGTATCCAGGAGTGGGCCTGCCTGGTGCTGCTAACAGGTGGGGTACAGGTCCTGCCAGCCTCACACTACTGTTCAGGTGACTAGCCACAGAGAAGAGCAGAGCACAGCAAGGTTAAGGGGAGTCTGCACAGCAGTGACACAGACAATGTCTGGCTACCCTCAGAGTAAGGACCGGCTCTGGTTACTTCATGCAGGCAGGAATATGGTGGGACCTGGAGCCCCCACAGCCTCAGCCCACCCACCATCCACCACCCTGGGAAGATGTGTCAAGAGCTGATTCTGCTTCGAGTCACAGCAGGGGCTAGGCCTGCACCTACTTCAGTGCAGCTCCACAGAACAGCTGGCTCCACTGCTTCTAGACACACAGACATCTCCCCTGGACAATAGCAGGGCAGAGATCTAGACATGGCTCACTCTAGAAGCCCACCCTGTATAGGCCTATTACACCGGGGCTGGGCAAAGTCCATCTAAGTCAGGCCCACGAGCACACCAATGGAGGAGCTGTGCAGGCACATAGCACACCTTGAGTGAGCACCCATTGTGTGTCTTTCCTTTCCAGTACAACCATGCCCTATCCCATGGCAGGAAGCTCATGTGTCCATGAAAGGGCTTTTCTGGTCTTCATCACTGCCTGTAACGAGGCAGAGACCAGGTGCACAGGGACACAGGTGTACTCTGAACCATCCCAGTGGGCCAGGACAGGATGGTTCCCCTGTGGTTCCCCCACCTCTACCAAGAGCACTTACCCTTCAAGCACACCTCCTCTTCCCTGGCCTCTGTGCCCCACTGCCTGAAAAAAACTCTCAGAGAGAATGGAAACTCCTCAGCAAGCATGAACTGTGGGAGGAGGGCTGGCAGTGCCCAGGCTTAGCTGTAGAGAGGAGCTCAGCAGGGCAGAAGAGGGGCAGGAGAGCTGCATGACCCATGCAGCTCCCAGACCTGCATGTCACCTGATCTGAGCTCATAACGAGACCCTGGGCAGGAGAGAAATCATTCCCTGTTCCCAATAAGTAGAACTCCAACAGAGTGCTAGTTCTGAAGCCACAGTATCCTCATCTGTACAGCCAGGTCAGATGGCCAGAGCCAGATGTGAAAGAAGGCTGTGTAATCCCATAAGGGACTCACAGCAGGGGCCACGAGAACCTGATGAGTGGTGATCACCAGATATGACATGCCACCCACCTTCATTACTGCAGAAGCCACCAGGCCCTTTCCACCCAGCTTTAGAGGCTCTGGTCCCACACAGCTTCCCCCTCAGCCCCTCGCCAGTCCAGCCTAGGGCCTGACAGAGCCTGACACAGCAGCCACTCACTAGCTCCTGCTTGACTTTGAAAAGGGACCTGGTTCCAGAAGCTGCCTTCACTCCTGTTTCTGTTCACTGTGTTGCTCTCCACTCATGAACACCAACATTCCTTGTCCTGGGACACCTACTGCTCTGTTGCATACATCTCACCTCTTTCTCTCCACCTGTCTCCCTTATCAGCCTGTCTCTCTTACCTGCCCACCCATTCCATCCTCATAGTTTCTTCTACTCTAAGATTCCCTTGGGGCCTGCCAGTCATCAGAGCTCTCACCCCACCTCAAAAGGCCATTCAGAAGTATGAAAATGACCATCCACCGACCTGCAAGCCCTGGCAGGTCAGCTCGAAGGCAACCCCCTCACCCATCCCTTCTCTTGGCCTGACTGACTGACCACTTCTTGCAGAGTGGAGGAGGGCCCCGTCATCACCTCCTATAGTAGGTTTATGCTGGCTAGTTTTTATATCAACTTGACACAGACTAGATTTGGGAAGAGAGGAGATCAATTGAGAAAAAGAGTACCCCCACCAGACTGGCCTGTAGACAAGCCTATGGGGCATTTTCTTGATTAGGTAATCCTGAGATTAGACAAGAAAGCAGGCTGAACAAGTCATGAGGAGCAAGCCAGTAAGCAGCATTCTTCCATGGCCTCTGCTTCAGTTCCTGTTTCCAGGTTCCTGCCTTGCCTCAAGTTCCTGCCATGATTCCCTTCTATGATGGACTGTGATGTGTAAGCTAAAACAAACACTTTACTGTTCAAGTTGCTTTTAGTTGTGGTGTTTTAGCCAGCTATAGAAATCCCAACAAAGACGGTCCTACAGGCCCTCCTGGGCTGAGTCCATGAAGGCAGAGCTCTAGCATGGGCAGAGTATCGAGGCTACAAAGACTATGCAACCATCCTTCTGTTCCTGATACCACCTAGATTTAAAGCATCTCCCATTGCTCCTCCCAATTCAGTCTCTAAGGGTGCCTTCAAAGGTAGGGACTGTTTCCTATCAAGTCTGGAGGGAACTGGGAGAAACACATCTTAGATCAGGGCAAAGTCCTGCAAAGCCTTTGCCAGTGGATTCCTATCCCAGTACAGGGATACATGGATAAATCATCAGAGGACATACTCAAGGTCTCCAAGGTAGTTTAACAGAAAAAGAGATGACTGCATGACCACAGCCAAAACAGCCAGATGCAGAGGCCAAACACCAACAAAAGTGATGAGAAACTCACTGGGCCCAAGCCACCCATGCACGCAAGGCTGAGCCACTGCCCAATGGGTGGTCCAAAAGAAGGGGCAGATTGGATGCTCCAGAAAGCATAGAAAAGCCACATACCCTCTACCCCATCTAACTCCATGGAGGCAACATCTTGAGATCCATCTTCCTATAGGTAATGGAGTTACACTCTCCAGAAGGCTCACTGTCACCAGACTATCCCCATTCACAGCCCCCAAGAAGCAGCTTATATGTGGATAGACAGATCCAAGCAGAAAGAAGCAAGGGTTAGTGTTGAAATGAGCAGGTGGGTAGAACTGAGAGCCATCTGTGTGTGTGTTCCCATGACATGTAGTCATGCCAGAAGAAACCCTCAGATCAGCATGTCAGCAGGGCAGCAGTGGACAGAGGTCTGGCCTACACTCCCCATCAAGCTGTCCTGGCAAGAAATCTGGCTCTGCCTGATTCAGGGGTAACATATAAGGTTTGAAATACAGTAATTCTGCTGTCACCTGGTGCTAAGTTGCCAGTACCTACATCCACCAGGATGACCTTTTAATAGTAGAGAGGGAAGACACACATGATGAACAGTCTCCTTGGCTGCACATACACACTTTGACAGTCAGAAGTCAGGAGAGAGGGTGTGTCCAGAGGGCCCAGGAGCAAGGCTGCTCAGGGTCCTTTTATATCACTGGCCATCATGCTGTCAACTATACAACCATGTAATACCACAGAGAAAACAGGGAGGCCAGCCCCTACCCAGAGTCCACAAGACACCATGCATCATTCACTGCTGTCATTTACACACCCAGGGCTTCTTATAACAATGTTTTATTGGTACGATAATTAGATTATTTCACTGCCTTCTGCATTCTGCTGCTCCAGGCCCTTCCCTCACAAACTACAGTTGCTCATCCCAGGAAACATGCATATCCGGAATTCAATAGAACACCAGCTGCCTATGCCTTCCCTTCAGCCATGAGCCCCTTGCTCAGTGCCTTAGTGTTGACTGTTTAGCTTAAGGGCTGACTCCAGGGTGGGGAAGATGTAGCTTATGGGACTCAACAAAACCCATGTGCCTCTGCCTCCGTGACATCACAGTTGCAGGCCTCCAAGGGAACTCAGCTTGGCCCACCTTCTTCCCAAACATCACCTTTTCCCACTGCCTCCCTGAAGCCCTGGAGTGCTTCTAGATGGTCCCCAAACCCCCACCCGAACCATACTGCACCCTCCCACTGTCCTCCACTCCCCAGCCTGCACCAGCTCTGGGGAACTTTTCCAAACGGAAAGGAGATGTGGGCAGTGCCAGTCAGACCTTCGGGCAGCCGGAAGACAGGCCAGTCCTGGGAGAAGAAAGAAAATGGCTGAGTCCCAGCCTCCCACAAAGACGACTGTGTGAATGCGCCTGGCTGACCAGATGAGGGGGCTGACTAAACCCAGCCTGCCCCAGAAAGCTGGCCAAATGCAAGGTAGCTGGGTTTTCTGCTGGTCTATGGGAAAGCTGTGCAGAGATGGTACCTTCCGAGGGAAAGACAGTGGGGACTCTTGGGGAGGTTTGTCTCTGCTGTAGGCCCAGGTCTGTTTCAATCGTCAGGCGGGGATGTATGGCCCAAGCCCAGGAACTGTCACCCTCTATCTCCCCAGGGGAGCCCAGTGTCGCAGACTCTCAGGCTTAAGGCTGGGTGCAGAAGAAGGCGCTGTCCAGCTTTCCTAAGGTTCCTGAGCTGTCACCCCCCCCCCACCCGAACCGGAGGTCCGAGCTAGGAAAGCCAGGCCCGGACCTGGCGATGGCCGGGCGGTGGCCGCTGCCTGGAGGTGGGGGGTCATGCGGCCGGGACGCAGCTGCTCAGGCAGCATGCCTATTAGCGCGGCAGACGGCAGATGGGCGCCCGCTCATCCCCCTCCTCCCGCGGCACAATGGGCCCGGCGCTCGCTCGGGCGCACAATGCGGGCCCCGGGCCGCGCACCTGCAGCAGGACTGCCGGGTGCCGCCAGGCCTGGCTCATGCTGCCCCAGTCGCCTTGCGCCCCAGGCCGCGCCGCGTGTCCTTGGGCTGCGCCCGCCCGCAACCGGTGGGCTGCGGGGCTCCACCACGGGACCCAGGAGTGCAGCGGCTGCCGGCGCACCGCCGCCCATTGTTCGCGGCCGCGGGGCCCGGCCTACAGCATCCCTGTTAGGCGGCCTCCTTCGGCCCCGCCCGGGCGGTCAGCACGGTCTCACCGGCCCCGCGGCCGCGCGCCCGCCCCCCCACCCCGGCCCCGCCCGCGCCCCCAGCCGCCGGCGCGCACGCACCTGTCTGCCCCTTGCCCAGCGTCTTCTCCAGCCGGTAGGGCCCCACATACTGCGCGTGCTGCGCCCCGCCGCCGTCCTTCCCCGTCGATGTCATCGCTCCCGGGCCCCGCGCCGGCGAGTGGGCGCCCGGGCGCGCGGGCAGGGAGGGGCCGGCCAGCCGTGCGTCCAAGTCAGCCAAGCGCCGTCCGCGCTGACCCGGCCCGCGGCGCCCCCGGGCGGGCCGCGCCGCTCTGCGCCCCTGCCGCCCCCCACTCCGCGCCCGCCGCACCCGTGCGACGCCGGGCCGCGGGGATGTCTCTGCCTCTCTGAGAGGACCCGGCAGGCGGGGGCACCAGGCTTCAGCCGCCACCTCCGAGGCCCGCGCCCCGCGCCCCCCAGCGCACGCCCGTCCGCGGCCGTGCAGCCGAGCCCCGCCGAGCAAAGGAACCGAGCCGCTCAGCCGAGCCCAGACGAGCAGCCGAGCAGCTTCGAGTGCCGCCGAGCCCCAGCCGAGCCCGAGCGAGCGCCACCGGCCTCAGCTACCATGACAAGTGGTGCTTGCAGCTGTCAATCAGAGGCATAGCCCAATCAGCGCTGCCCGCCTGGACCGCCCCTCCAGTCTCTAAGAGCGCGCTGGGCCTCTGGGCCGAGAAAGGAGAGATTGGGGTGTCGTTGGGGCGGGGGCGAAGTGGAGGCCACGCCAGGGCCAGGAGCCTCCGGACCGTGCTCTACCTGCCGGGGGCCCTTGTCATTAAAAGGAATGCAGGGGTGGTGGAGGCTGCAAGCCTCGGAGAAAAGTCCGTGTGGCCGCCTTGGTGTGGGTTTTTCTCCCTGCACCCTGGGTTTGGAAGGAGTTTTCCGCCCCTCGCGAGAGCTTTATATATAAAATTGGACCTTTGTACCGCAGTAGGGTTCTGAAGGCGGTTTTGGAGTTCTGGTCACCAGGCACAGGTGCTCCTTGCAGGGTGGGGATATTAAGCGTTGGCAAGGATACTGCATGCGGGCTGGATTCTGCAGACTGGGTGGAGATGCTGCCTTTAGATTGGGGTTCTGCATACAGCGTGGGTGCTGTGTGCAGGCTAGGGCTCTGAACACAAGTAGCGTTCTGCATCTGAGGTATAATGCTTCATGCAGAGCCAGAGAGCTGTACACTGCAGTACCCAGAGTGCCCTGGATGCCGTTCTCCACCGGCTATTTCTGTTCCCGTGAGAAGGGGACGGCATTTTCGCTGTATGCCAGTAGACACCAATACAGTAAGATCAATAAACTCTAGCAGAGGCACTCTGTAGCAGAGCCCCCTGGTGCCTCTAAGACCTTAGCAGCAGACCATTCTATATTTAAGGTAAGCCGCGAGTCCAGGAGTTTCATGGCACGTAAGATCAGGAGAAGCCACTGAAAAGTGTATGGCCTTAAGCCAGCAATGGAGGCAGTCAGACCTACAGGGACCCTCCTTGTCTTGCATGAAACCCTTGTATTTCTTAAGATGTGCTGTGGAAGGTGATGGAAGTGGAGAGATGGGGCCAGGCTCAGAACTTTACAGATGTGGGTTATACTTCCTGTGCACCTCAAGGGAAACTGCATTAGCCAACAATGTGCCATGTCAACAAGTCCCTAGGTATGAAATGTCACCTTTGCCTTCAGCCACCTGATTTTTCCCTGCCCACCCTAGGTGTCACTGCGTGAACTTAAGGAGGGTCCCACTCTTTCCAACACTACCAGGGAAGAACAATGGAGAGTGAGGACACTGTGTCCTGTTTATGTTGTCAATGTTAGAAAGAGCCAACTCTCAGAACAGCTTCCCCTCCTAAGAACTGGCCAGCCTGATCTTTAAAGGTGGTAGATTTAGGGTCACTGAGCACTAAGTTTTGTCCTGGAATGAGCCTTACTGTCCTGCTAATGGGGACACACAGGTAATCAGAGGGTGAGCCTCAGGCTGATGCTGACACCACTAGGGGCAGTGGTGATTTTCCAGCAACACTTAAGAGTGTTTAGAACTTTGGAGTAGAGTATTCAACAGGGTTTGTCCAGAGGTGATCAGTGGAAGTAGAACTGGTGAGTAGGAGGGCCAATGATCCACATAAGAAAGGAGACACCAGGTCCCTGTCTACTAGGGCCCTTTTAGTCACCTGGCCTCCTTGTCTACATTCTCACCTTTCCAGTGGCCTCAGCAGCATTTGGTCTATGGCTCTCTTCATCCTTCAAGACTTCTTTACCTGCACTCTACCCTCTACCTCTTGGTCTCTTCCCTTCTCTCTAGCTGCCCATTTTTGTGTGCGCATCTAGCCAATACCAATCTGCAGGTCTCCAGGGTCAGGTATAGACCCTCTTCCCTTGAATGTGCCCTCCAGGAGCAGCTGCGTCCCTGCTGTACCACTCTCTACTGTCAGGACCACCCAGAGATCAGGTCCACCCAAAGCTGTGCCATAAATTCTCGAATCCTACATTCTTATAATAGATGTCACATCCCCTACTCCCATCTTTTTGAAATCACAAACACTAACTCTTTGACCAGTCTGCCATTATCCAGGATTAGCAGATCTGAGACTGAGGGACATTCCAAGTAATGGTCAGCTAATAGGCACCTGTGACTGTGGATGCTTGGCTAGTGGAACCCATATGTTCCATTGTATTTTAGGGACAAGAGCTGTGAGGGATTCAGTGCTATTGATCAAGTTGACCTGTTTTAATGTTAGAAAAAGAGGCCCTTATCTAAGCCAAGAGGCCTCTCTGGCAGAAGAACCTCCCCCTACACCAGTACTCCCAGAATTATTTAACATAACCTAGGACCAACCCCAGATAAGGACAGGTCAAGAAAAAGAAGTGGAGCCCATTACTTCCAAGGACCAAATAACAGGATATCAGCAAATAGATTCCAGCCATACATGAAAAGAATTCATGTGAACCTGCAGTGCTTTTGTCTAGGAATGCCCAATTAATGTTTCAAATTTTAATAGATTAGGCCGGAAAAACTATAATATATGATTATTTATATAAAAAAAATGTTTCCCACTGCCGGTCCCAGTGAAATTCCTCTGCCTTTTTCCTCTGTTTCTTTTTGGTTTGTTTTGAGACAGGCTCTCTCCATGAACTCTAGGCTGGCCACAAGTTTGCCGTGATCCTCCTTCTCAGCCTTCCAAGTGTTGAGATTCCGTGCATGTTTTTCCATGCCTGCTTCTGCCTGTTCAGGGAGAGTGGCTGCAGAGCATTTGGGGGGACAGTGAAGAGGAAGAGCAAACAGCCAGGAGAGGTTCAGAATTCCTGCAGAGTAGGCCTGCTTCTGCTTAGCTTATGCTAACATAAAGAAATGGGACTAGGTAACCAAGACTAAGGAGTATAAGTCCCAGGGCAGAGGCCACTACTTTGGAATTGCTTTTACAGTAATTCAGCTGTGGGGCCTGGACTTGGGAGGGGGTTGGTAATTTGGGAGGGGCTTAGGGATGGCAGGTGGCCAAGCTTCAGGCCTATGTGGGGTGCGGTTGGGAAGGTGTACCTCCACTTATCTTCACTTGTTCCTCCACCCTGCCTATTATTCCATTCACATTTGTCCAAGAAGGAAAAGAGGCTAAGAAAATACAGCACTGGCCTTGGGAAGAGTTGCACAGCACTCCAAATGTGGATAAGAGACTGGCGTGTGGATACATCTGAAAAGGACCACAGATGCTTTTTGCTGTGTGCATTTTCCCACGCTTTGAAAAATTGAAAGCAGGCTGGAGAGCCACATTTTAAAATTGCTGCTTTTGTTTCTTTACTCCTTTACTTTCTGGCACATAGATATTGTTATGTGGCATCTGGGGCCCCACCACTAGGGCTGGGGAAGCCAGAGCCAGATGTAGGATTATGGGGAGCAAGGAAAGGAGACATTGTTTCCAGGGCCTTTTGGATCTTTTTAGAGCATTAATCCATTTCCTGGGAAACAGCCCAGGCCCCTGAATGCATTCCCTAGGAGACAGCACCAGGGGGCCCTCTTCCTGGCTCCTTACTGTCTTGAACATACAATTAGGCAACCAGAGTGGAGGGCAGGCTGGGAATATGCACCCACACCCTGGAAGAAGGAGAGAGGAATGAGGTTTGCAGTGGTGGTATTAAACAAATGCAGTAAACGCAAGTACTGCAGTTGCCAGGAGCATGCATTATTTTCTTTTCCCTCCACTCTTGGAACAAGCCACAAAGAATTGATTCAAAGAGAAACTGTGTCCAAAGCAATTTAGCAAACACTGTCTATATGGAGTCTTCCCAGCCCACTGGTGACAGCTGGATCAAGATGGAACGGTAAGCTGTATCTTTGTCTACTGTGGATCTTTAGCTCAGACCTTCTTGTATTGACTCATTTAATGAGATAGCTTCTGAGGCAAAGGTGAAGTCCCAACCACAGACCAGCTTTGAGGCTAGCAGAGGTGCCCTGCCTAGCATTCTCATCCTGCCTGCTCTTGCTTGTAATGAGACTATTTATGGTTTCAATTTAGTTTTTATTATTATTGCTATTTGCTTTTCAGAGTTTAGAGGCTTCTTATGCCTCACATGCCTCCAAAGCATTCCTCAGCTGTCAGGGAAGAGCATCACAGTGATGGTGAACATGGATAATTAAAGTCAACATCTCAGGACATTGAGTCAATTTCTTTGAAAGTTTTTTTTTTTTTTTTTCAACACCAGGTAACCCTGTGCGTCACTTCTCCATACTCAAATAGCTGTTGAGCTTCCTTTTTTTGTAAAGTGAATGTCTCTCATGAAATTTGCATTTAATAAAGGTTGCTTTCCTGCCTTTCTCAGGAACCTCCAATGTCATGGTCCTCTCTTGGTCATAACCTGACCTTTTTTCAAGTGATGCAGGAGGGTAAAGAGCTGCCTATGGTTGTCATGGCTACTGAGTATGCACTGTACTGCCCCATGTTTGCTCATACATAGAGTATGAGCAGTGTGATCATTGGACCTCCAACTCCTTCTGTGCAGAAGCCACAGAGCCCTGTCCTGACTGCCTTCCTCAAGGTCCAGGGTAGAAACAAACTTGGGCTGTGAACTGTAGCCCCACAGCAGCCCTGAAGCTAGATGCACCTCAGATGTCAAGCTTTTTATGGGTCTGTATAGTTGTGGGGTCTCATGTAGAAACCCACAATCCTCCCTCTCAGTTAAGGGCCTCTGCAGAGAGACTGTAGTCCAGGTGATTATAAGGGTGCTGGTCTTAGAGGTCCCCTTTTGAAGGGCAACGGCAATACTCAGCGGGAGGGCATTGATGACCCTGCAGCTCTCTAAGGCTTGAACTTTTCTCTCCAACCCTTGTCCACCATCTGCTCAGTAGTCATTGTCCCCCACTTCCTCAGTGGTATCATTCAGGTATGAGGCAAGAGCAACACAGCTGAAGTTCTCCCACATCCTTTGAGGTCCAACCCCACCACCCTCACATTAAGAGCAGAGGCCAGGGACTTGCTCGTTGTTGAGGCCACCATCCATCCTTGTCTCCCTTATCCCTGACCCTCTGGAAAGCATGGGATCTGCGCAGTGTCTCCTTGTATTCACAGTTCCCCGCCCCTGTATATCCAT